GTCTTGTGTTAATCTTTCAATTGTTGGACTGTGTTCTTTACCTGTCAGGCTATCTGTGCTATTAGAGATGGGCTGTCAGACCCTTTGGTGCGTACAGGACATAAACTCGCGCTGCATCAGAGAGCTGTTAGAATGAAAGAGTCTGCCAGCTGCAAGAAGTACCGCCTGCAACTGAGAGACCTGCCCACTGTCCAAGTACAAGATGTCAAGCATGTACGTTTTTTACAGTGTCAGTGTGTGGGTTTCAAAATGGAACAGCTTAGTTTTTTAGCTCACCTAAAATATTCTTGTGTGTGTGTTTGTTTGTTTGTTTGTTTGTTTGTTGTTACATCTGACTGCAGGTGACTATTCGAGGACAGCTGTTTCCTCATGAGGGAGGCATGGGGAAGTCTAAATTTCTTTTACCAGCAAATGAAGAAGGCGCTCATTCCACTGTAATATGCTCTGTAGAGGAGCTGTCCTTAGCGCATTACAGACAGCAAGGTTTTGACCAAGGTAAACAACTTTTTTTCTTCTGTAAAAATGTATAGATACAAACAGAAACAGTAGGTTTTTTCTTTTGTTTTGTTTAATTATTATTATTATTATTATTATTATTATTATTATTATTATTATTATTATTATTATCAGGGATCCATGGAGAGGGTTCAACATTCTCAACACTGTTTGCTCTCCTGCTGTGGGACATCATTTTCATGGACAGTATTCCAGATGTCTTCCGAAACCCCTATCAGGTAAAGAAGGGTCTATACGTGTTTATCTGAATATGTATGAAACTCTAGAGCTCACGTTTGTATTCCCTTACAGATGTGTCCGCTGGATTTTTACACCGACTGCTTTTATGAAAACAGAAAGGATGCAATCGAGTCTCGTGTCCAGTTACTTTGTGAGGCGTCTGTGGAAACTCTGCAAAATATGTTGGAAGATGTCTGGAATTCCCAGGAGGGAAAAGTGTGTTCGTTGGTGAGCTGGGAACGTTTCTCATCCCTTCAACAAGCACAGGTACTTAAGGTTTTAAAAGTACATGTTGAGTGCTGTCAGTATACAGTGTTTCTCACATTACGTGTCAGCGCAGTGGGGCAGATGAGGACACATTTTCCTCAAACACACTCCAATAATTGTCTCACCTCATCACCAAGTTTGGAGCATCCTTCATTGCCAGATTAGCACGTAGACTCTTACTTGGGAGCCATGCTGGTGTAATACATTTAGAATGGGGTTTGAAACTTTCTTGTAAAGCATTCAATAAATCTGTATGAACTGATAATAGAAAAATAAGAAACAAGAAAAGGTGATGGCGCAGTAAACATGCCCTTGTCCTGGATTTTTTTT